TCTCTTATTTTTTTCATAATTTTATAAATATTTAAATAAAATAACTAAAAAAATTATTTGAGATTTAAACTTATAATTAGAGTTAACTTTATATACCAATCTTATCTAAAAAACTATTTTATATACAAGCCTTCTATAATTTGGCTTATAATAATCTATTAATTTAATTTTGGAATATAAAATAAAATAACTTATAATTTTTTTTTTATAATTCCTCGTAGTCTTAGATTCTTAGAGACCAATGCAATAGCCTCCTTGTTGTCCGTCTCCACTATCACCATCCTTATCCCAAGGTCTCAAGCAACACGCAGACCCTCTAGAATTCCCCTAACCTCAGCATCTAGAGTGTGCAGTTGGCTTGGCAAAACCTGACACCCATATCCCCAAGGATGCCACCGCACGTACTATAGTCCAAACCTTCTAGGGCCATCAACGTTACGCTTGAACCACCCGTCTGGTGGAGGTTTCCAACGAGCATCTCTGTCAACTCTGGGGTGATGGATTGTATTGAAATTCTCCTTTGTCCGCCACTCCTCGACTAACCATAATGCACAGGCGAGCACTTTCATGAATAATACTCTCAAGTCTCATAGGAAGAGCTGAGTCATTAGGTGAGTGCGATATAATTTATTTTTTATATTATTTATTAATTTAAAATTTTATTTTTTAACTCATTAGGTGAGGCCGATGTAATTTATTTATTAATTCATTTATTTTTGTATTTTTTTATTAATTTAAATTTTAATTTTTAACTCATTAGGTGAGTGGGATATAATTTGAGTAATAATAATAACTAGGGATAAACAGAGTCAAGTTTTTGGCAATCTTATATGATATGAAAAAATATATAGTTTTCACCCGAAACTTAATTCGATTCGGATTTAGAGTAGCTTCACCTGATTTGAACTAGATCCACCTTTTTGAGAAAAAACCCGAATCTTGCCCGACCTGACCCAAAATAAATATATTTATAAAAATATTAATTTTATTCGATAAAAATAGGGATCTAATTGAAAAAAATAATATAAAGAGAGGAATCATTACAATTATCTCTAAATATATAAAGTAGAATTATATTATTATTGAGTCGAATCGGATAGTATTTTCATAAGGTAAAAACTCACATAAAAACCAATATATTTTTTTAAAACTCAATCCAATAGGGTTGGATCGAGTTGAAAGCCATCAAATAATAACCAAATTATGTTGAAAATTGGCAAACCAAATTGCATCAATTGTCATCATTATGGGTGACAATTTGGTGGCATTAATGGGGTGACAAAATTGGTCAAATTTGGCCACCAAATTGTTGAAAATTTTGGATGGTAAAACTATGTAATTAGTCATTATAATTTAGGATATTTACAAATTAGTCCTTAAAGCTTCAACTATAAATACCCTAGCTCATTTAGCTTCAAAACCATCCCAAAGCATTCTAGCTTTCTTCCAATACTAGAGAGAATTTAGAGAGTTTCTTGGGAGTTGTTTTCTCGTTTTTATCAAGGGAGAATTATCATTGTTTTCTCCTTGGTAGATCGAGAGAGGTTGTAATTCTTATTTTCTCATAGTGAAATTCTTCTACCGTTACCCGTGGTTTTTACCCTATATTATTCAGGGGTTTTCCACGTAAATTTTGTGTCTCTTTTATCTTCATTTTTATTTTCTCAAATTATCAGTTGCGATTTTGCTCTATCCGATAGCCGTATCCCGCAACAAATTGTTCATTGGTCAATGCATTAACTTATTGCTATCAATCTGCAGGCAATGATAACCAAATACATACAATCAGCAAATTGATGGTTGGTAAACCTGCAAGTTCTTGTTGCACACATCATGTGCTCAAGAGCAACTGTCTAACGTGGTTTCACATTCTCCCCATTCTCGACACCTTCTAACTCGGCCACTCCAAGGATCAATATATATATTTCTTATAAATGGTTCACCATTATTTACAGCTGCGTGCCTGTGTCTACAAGGTTTATAATTTCAACCTTCATCACACATGTCCTCCTCCAACAACTAATGAAGGTCAACGATTCGAGGATCTAGAACAATTCATTGTCTCAATCACGACCATCTTAGTTGTTGGTGTAATGACTTTGTCACTTATTGTCACAAGTGTTTTAATCATTTCAATAATCATCTTATTTGATTGATATACTTATCACAATAACTGCTTTTATCTATTATATTTTTCTTCATCTTCAACAACCCATCAAAATTTTACACTAATTGAAAGTTCATGTATTACATTACTCATTCGACCAAAACTTTATGTTGATATTTATATAAGTTTATGTTGGATAAAGGTAACAATAAACACAAAATTGAATGAAGGGTTCCTACGAAAAAGGTAAGAATAATTGAATGGAATTGATAGAGATGGATCCATTATTAGGGATGGCAAACGGGTGGGTCGGGTGCAGATACCCCCTCCCCCATCCCCATACCCACATAATATTTTCCAATCCACCATCCGCCCACAATCCATAATGGGTAAAATTTTTCAAATCCACACCCGTCCACGCGGATACATTCTCAAATCCATCCCCACACCCACTACCCAACTTGAGACGTACCCGGCTAGACCCGTCTGACAGCTAGGGGTGTGCAAAAAAATCCGATCCGATCCAAAAATTCAGATACTCGATCCGTTTTTCAATTTTCGGATAGTTAGGATCGGGGTATCCGAAATTTTTTCGGATTATCGGATCGGATACGGATCGATAAAAAACCAAGTTCGGATTATCCGAAAACTCGAAAAAAAAAAAATTGGACTATATTCGAAGACCAGAGGAGGTTTTCGCATAAGGCTTAGGCACGACTTATTCATCCTGAGCTATCGCAGAATAAGTCGCAATTAAGGCGTGGACACGCCTTACCAGTTCGTACAAAAGAAGTTTAATGACGGTTGAAAGACTCTATTGAATCATTCTTATCTTTAAAAAAGGAGTTTAAGGCGACAAGAATTACAAATGCTGGATAGACACCTAAACAAATCCATTCTTTGAGTTGTAAAAATATTATGGACATAACTTTCTCTGAGTTATTTAATTAGTGACTATTTGTTTGTTGTTGCACCTGTTTCTAATTATAATAAAGTTTCACTTACCCAAAATTAAAACATGATTTCATCTCTTTCCCCACACCAGCAACCAAAAAAGCTTACACAAATCTAAGCAAATGATCCAAGATGCGTAAAATATAGCCCGGTGTTTGGATCTTTACCTTTGCATTATCCCAATCCAGAAAAAGAAAATCAAATCTAAGTTGTATTGGTTTTGGGCTCTTTTTTTCAAGATGTTTTTGTTTTTCAATGCATGATTATACAAATTATAATGCATAAATTATTCATAATTTTCAAAATCAGCAGAATGTGTGAATGCACTTAAATTCAGAAGAATACCAAAATCAATAATTCAATATACGTACATATAACACGTTTCTTAAAAATCAAAATCAATATATGAATGCTCTTAGATTCAACAGAATATCCAAATCAAAATAACTGAGTATTGACTATTGGCCTTGTATCTTGAACAGAACTAAGAGGATTAGATATGAAAACTGGAGTATTCACCTTACGACAAATTAAAACGGCTACAAACAACTTCGATGCAACAAACAAGATTGGGGAAGGTGGTTTTGGATCTGTGTATAAGGTGACATACAACTCTACTACCCGTAGAGGAGATCAGAGTAAAGAAGAGGAAGAATGTGCATCTGAATGAGCTGGAGACCAGAGTTTGAAACTTAGAGAAGAAGAACTACCATAATATCGGCGCAGTAACCAGCAAGCAAAGCATGAGAGGTTTGAAAGAAAAAAAATTGATTCATAAACTTAGGGGTTGTTTGTTTGCCTTTTAATGGAACCATTCAGCGCTAAATGCTGAACCGTTCAGCATTCAATGTGTTTGTTTCGCACCTCTGAATAATTCAGTGCTGACTGATTCAACAAAGCATTGTTGAATTATTCAGCACAGAAGTACATTCTGAATGATTCAAAGTCATTATCAAACAACATGTCACATTCAGAGTTAATTCATACAGAGCCTCTGAATCATTCAACGCTTAATCATTCTGAAGTAAACAAACAACCCTTTATCCCTAATATTTGGTTAAAGTATAAGTTATATCTTATACAATATTAAGATTTATAAATTAGACTCTAAAATTATACTTAAATTCATAATGATCCAAAATTTAATAGATATTTAGTGGGCGGGTGGATGCGGGGCGAGTAAGGTCTCAAACTCATCACCCACCCACTACCTGCGACAGGTACCACTTTCTAAATCCACACCCGCTCACTACCCACGACGGATACCACTTTCTAAATCCACACCCGCCCACTACTCACTAAAGTTATACCCATCCCCATCCCAATTGAAGCGGGTACGGTACGAAATCCATGAAATTATACCCCGTTTACCATCCCTATCCATTATTATTGCCTTTACCCAACACATCTCCCAATTATTAAACACAAAATTGAAATTTAAAGAACTCTCAAGAATAGTGAAAACCCAACAGTTGCATTAATCTCAGTGCCAAATCCCTGCCTTAACTTCAAACGTCTAATTATGCCTCCACTCCCTGTACTCTTCAGACCTTCAAAATTTAGCATGCTTATTTTTAATTTCATATTGTGTTAGTTTTTTTTCTTGTTGGATTTAAAAAAAATTAAATTCCAATGATAAAATTGTTGATTTATTTTATTAAAATTTGAATATATTCTTTCAGTTTGATTTTAATTTCTAAATAAAATATTTAAACGCATTTAAATTTGAAGGAAATTTATTAACAATATTATCAATATGAACTAAAAGTAGAGGGATTGAACTCTGGAACATTCGAAGAGTACAGGGACTGGGTAATAATTAAACCTACAAGCAGTAACGATCATATTTTTCAAGTCTTTATCTTCTTCACATTCATTGACCGATCTCTTAGTTTTTTCTTGCATTGATTTTATATTATCTGTCACTCTCCAAGAAGACGATTTTCTTCAAAAGGGTGTTGGGAAAGAGAGATTAAAGTGAACTTTTTTGAAAGAAGTCGATCAGGCTAATAATGGGTTGCTCTTTTCTTGCTTGTTTTTCTGCTTCCAAGAACAAAAAAAACACCAGCATTTAGTCGATGGAGCTTCCTCTGTTGATCAGGTTAGCTTTCTCTTCACTTTCAGCTTATAAAATTCTTGGGTTTTTCTTTTTTATTTGAATAAATTTGTTCAACACAGAAACCCGAAGCCAATGAAGCTGTTCGATATAGTAAGGAAGGAGATTTTTGGAAACCCTTTAACCCCATCATAGTGAAGAAGTAATGGCAGTCCAGTTTCAGGCCTTTATTTTCTTGATTACTAATGTTAATTCATGCATGTGTTGAGTTTCTTGTTTCATGTCAATTCATGTAGAGAGAAGCTAGGGAACTATTGAAGAACAACAGTGGTAAAAAGCAGGTAGCTTTAGATTTGAATGTGGAGACTCATGATGAATTGTCTGTTGAATCATCTGATAAGGAGATCGAAGGAACAGTAAAAAGAAGTGGATCTTGTGTTTTGAATTTGAGTGCTTCGGCTGTGGTTTGTAAGTCTCAAAACAATAGATATCAGGGAAAGGCTAACAATGAGCCACAATTGGACATGGAAGAGACATCTGAGTCGCTGTTTTCGTTGTCAATCGAATCCAGGAAACATGTTTGTGAAGTTGAATCAGATGAGAAGGATGAAAGCAATCAGTTCTGAATCCTGTTGAAAATCTTGCTCAATGGAAAGGAGTGAAGGCAAAAGCAGGCTTACCAGTGAAGGATGAAGAAAAGGAGAACATCAATGTGGAGCAATGTTCTGATTTTAAGCTCAGAACTCCGAGTTCGAGACTATGTTCCAATGGGAAGAAGCTGGTAGGGCAAGAAATTGCTGTTGATACAAGTCTTTCTAGCTGGTTAATGGGACCTGAAAACACACCGAATACGAAGGGTAGTACTAATTCAGTTGGGAATTCAGCAGCATCCCTGAAAACAAATTCACCTAGAAGCTATGAAGATAGGGTTGTTTTAGGAGCACTAGCCCTGGAAGAGCTTAAACAACATTCCACATCTACTCCCAGGGAGTGCAAGAGCCAGAGGACCGATGAAACAGCTATCATTGGGACTGTCGGGAGCTATTGGAATCGTACCGGCCAGATAATGGATGCTGATTCAAGCTCTCCACACAAAGGAACACCGATAACAAGCAGCAGAAACATTCAGGTATACGAATTGAGTTTTCAGTTGATTCTCATGTATACATTTTACATGTATGGTGGAAGGATAAATACTTTGGTTGTGCAGGAAGAGAGACCGAAATGGAATGCTATACCATTTGAGGCAAGGTTGGAGAGAGCTTTGGATATAGGGACTGCAGGAGTATAGCATGCATCTGCTGCATTCTCATGAATGTTTCTGTTGATATGCATTTTTTTGTTGCTTGATTTGTTTTATTATGTGAAAGCATTAGATTTAGTGAAGAACTGAACATCCTCTTGGAATTCTCTCTAATTGATTCCTGATTTGGATGTCTACATAATTTGAGCTGCTTTAATAGCAAAATAATATTGATTTTCCTCCACCAATGAATCTGATTATTGAACTATTTTAGGGCTAATGGATCCCAAACCTCATCATCAAATCTATCCTGGACCAAGATTTTCCATTGCACCCTTAAGCAAGTACCCAGGCAAAATAATACGTTTAATGTGCTACATGTTAAAGATGAACTTAAAGATTTCTGTAAATGGATTTGTTTTGGTGTACAAATGGTGACTGACCATGGTTGGATGTTTGTAGTTTCAAAGCTACCTAAACGTTTATATAAAATTGTCTTTTCAAAAATGACAGAAATAATGGCAACAATATAGCAAGAAAACAATGAATTCCCTACATTATTTTCGTTGTGCTCGTCTTGGCTCTCTGTCCTTTGGCAGGTTTACATACACTATCATGGATTAATTTACATACATTATATCCGGCAAGGATATTACATATCATGGAAGAGCCGCCTTATCTGGTCGATGTCTGCTGGCATTAATGTGACCGGGCAGCGCTTATACTGTGACAATGAAATACAACACAAATCAAATAAGTTATTCAAGCTTAAAAATAAAGAAATAAACTACTAGCAGAAAAGAACAAAAGATGAAAATCAACATGGATAATCAAATTTTACACATACATGATTCTTTTCACTGAACCTTGCATGGTCTAAGCTTATAACAAATAACCTTTATAAACTAGTAAAAACAACTAAATCTAGTAAATGCATGAAAACTTGGTTTTAAGAAGTGGGTGTCCTTGAAGTTGGATATGAGAGAAATTGTTTCTCATCAACAGCTAAATAAAACATATTGAAGTTTCACTTAAGATTGGAACAGATGAAACAAGGATAATATGAATTGTCAATTTTATGACATGATAAAAGGGTATCCTTCCAAAAAGTAATTCATACATCCTATGAAGCCATTTTGGCAAGTTCAACCACATATCATCATATCTGAACTGTGAAAAGAAAAATCATTTGGTTTCACCAAATAGGGTTTGAAGGCCAGACCTGAGAAACATACTTGTGTATGCAAGCATAGCAGAAGACAAATCCTGAAACTGTAACTACTGATGGATTTGTGCGCTTCTGTGAGCACAATGGACAGATTGTTCTATCAGGCGGCAAGGGGATCCCATCTTTGGCTACCTGCAAGTGAAATATTTGGTTGAGCAAAAGGGTGACAAAAGCTTTCCTTGCTTATTTCTTCTATTTTCTGATTGATATTTGATAAAATAGGAACTGCTGCCAAAATCCTCAAATGGTTGCATAGTTTATGACCAATGCAATAAAAGAAACAATGCCATCATATCCTTGATGAATATCACTGATTTAATATATCCATCAATTTATACAATGAAACATATGTACATAAACAAGCTCATAAACCATTCTCCACTTTCTTAAAATAAATTATGAGGAATTGCTTGTGTGTGGGTGAGTATACGTGAGGAAGCAGAGAGGTGAATTTCTCACCTTTGGGGGTGGCGGTGGCGGAGGAGGTGGATACACAGTAGGAGCTGACATTCTCTCCTCAGCAGATTGATACCACCATTCCATCATCTATGATTATGGAAAAGGAAATCATAACGAATTCCATTACTATTTCCAGAAATAAAATTGACTGTTAAATGAAAATACAGGTTTCAAGAAAAAAAGAAAAAAAAAGCATAGCAAAAAAGAAGTTAACATGCAAAAACTTTGGAAAGGATGACAACGTTAAGAATTGTCAGATTTTATTGATATTAATTATTAGACCTCAATAGAAGCATGCAGCTTTTTTATTTTATAACCAAGTTAAATAGAAATCCAAAAGTGAATGTAGGTTAAAGCAACACTACAAGAGTTTAAGAAAAGATTATGAGTCATCATGACATTCTGGTAGGGCTCACTGTTTTGGCCTAAAGCAAATAAGAAACTGATTGGTTTAGTTTGGTTTGGTCCAGCTATTACATATTTTTGCTTAGAAGAATGTACTATCCGTAAATATTTTGCATATAATATGTTTTTCAGATATAGTTATTATAGTTAACGATAATATAGCATCCCTCAACCCCAAGTGGTAAAAAATTGATAACCAGTAAACTACACTTACTTTAAAGATGAACACTGCCGCGATTAAACCAGTTTGTGCATAGTCCAGCACCACATATGCACATTTAAGCAAAGCTCCTTGTACCGCCTGCAGGTATTATATTGTCTAATGAGTATGCTAACTTTAGCATTAGCTAAAGTTAGATATGATTAACAATCCTAACTAAAACATTTAGAGAAACATACCTTTACCCATGGAGGCCCCCGAAGCCTCTCGCGCTCACGACTTCGAATTTTGGAAATTCTAGAGGAAGTATCCATCTATCTTGGCATCAAAATAAGTATACTGAGTATGTGTGCATATATCATATAAATAAGAGCAAAATGAAGAAGTCTGCATGTTATGAGGGTGTGGAAAAAGCATGCAGCAACAAAAATACTGCACCATGTATATTAGTGTAATAAAACATGCAGTAAGAGAACATAAATTATATTTAAATCTGATACCAATTCTTGTCCAGTTGCTCGACAAACATGAATCCCAAGTGCATGTAATCCAACAGAATAGAACCCAGTTGCATCCAGCAGATATAAAAGTTGATAAGTAAATGTTAGTCCTGCCCCACAAATGTCGATATTAGATTAACGCATGTATCTTGAGTTCCAACCAAAGCATGGTCAAAAACAGATAATGGTCATTCAAAGCTATTTCAAAGAATCATATAAATATGATTGTGGAAAATTAGAAAACCTACAATATGGGGACACAAATGAGAGCTCCATGTTTGGCAACCACAACTTAATTTTTAACTTATTACTTGGCGATCACGACATATCATTGCTCACCCCTAGCCTTCTCAATCACAAGTTCCACTTTAGGTCATGGTAGTCCATGCACAATGATTAGATTAATAAATTGCCTTCATTATTGAAAACATGGAATCATGGATATAAAATGATTACTTAGATCTGAACACACCTTCAGCGGTAGCGTGTATCCATGGATAACATAAGCCTATAATTTTCTGAATATTCTTCGCCAATTGGGTTCTTATTGTTGTTTCTGCTTCTGTTGATGTTCTTGAAGCAATAGAGGCCTCCCCTTCAACAAAGTAGTCGATATCTTCAAATCTTTCATCACCAGGACCCCATAAACTTGCTTGAAGCCTGGCTTCCCTTTCTTTGTTATAAATTGAGTGCAATTTTGACTTAAGGTATGGCAAAACAACCTAGAAAGACATAGCAAACCAGAGGTTACTACTGCATCTAACAAAGGTTGTTGGAGGGAAACTGGTGATAGAGCATGTAAATGAGTTCAAACTGTCAATACCCTAAAGTAATGTTTTACAAAAAAATATGTTCTTCTACAAAAGAACATTTGCAGATTATTTGTTCATAAGGTTAGTAAAAGATCATAACAAGGGGGAAAAAAGAAAAGAAAAATAGATGCAGAATTCTACCAAAAATACAACTGAGAGAACTCTTTGACGCTTTTCTAGATTAGAGTGTTGGATCCCATCACTACTCTTTGATCGGATGTCAGCCTGTTTTATTCTTATTTTTGCTGCTCTCCTCCGCAAGCCATATAAAGATTCAGCGAAAGAAGCATCTGTATAAGAATGTTATATTAGAAAAATGAGTCTCATCTAGTCAAACATACATCTTCCAACTGCAACTAACAAAATTAAATTAAAATTTACACCCAAACACTGCAAACAACATATAATGGACATTACTATAATCTTCCAAATTAAGAAACAGATGTTGAATTCCATAAAGGGATAATAATGATAGCTTATCTACTTTCTCGTATACATAAAATGACCATGTTTTCTCAGGGTGAAAAAAAGAAAAAAGGGGAAAAAACCATGTGCTGCTACCTCCTTCCACGAAGCAAACATGTTAGTTGTAGGCTTGTGGTTAAGGTTCATTAATGTTTAAGTAACGGAAACAGTGTCCTGTATGTTACATCTAATGATGGTCTGCTACATCTCTCTCAAAAAAAATGATGGTCTGCTACAACTCATTTTGGACAAGTGAGATCATGGAGCAGAGTCAAGCTATGAAATTTAAGTTCTACATATCATATTGAGAAAACCAGAATGAATTAAATTACCACAAATTTCCATACATGACTCCGTCTCTGCTTATTCTCCTACTCCCTACAATCTTGACATTCAACATCTTCATATGGAAGGGAATAAATTTCAATGGGTGAACAGATTCTCAACAGAATGAAGACATACTGAACAATTTTCAACACCTTCTCCACTATCAAAGATTACATTATATTTCACACAAAATGTTATGAATTCAATGCCAACTGCCAAGTCAGCTTCCACCTCAGCACGAGCCAAGTCAAGCCAGGAAACGTGAGAGGCATCATCCACAGAGGCTTGCTGACTATGTGTAGTTAGTTATGCTTGTTTGGGTATTATAGATAGGAAAGGGTAATGAGGGGTTATTAATGCATTCTGTTAAGTGTTGTTTGCTTCTTCTCTCCTCTGTTTTCCTAAATCTGCTACTATTTTTTAGAATTCAATAAAATTCATTACAATTCCTTTGAATTCATATCACAGAAGCAAAAAACAGATCCATAGTTCACAGAGGCACAATAGAAAACTAAAAGTAACTCCACACATAAATTGAACACAGAGTACAAAACCAGTGAAATCGGAGGCAGCATTAAAGTTTAGAAGAACACATGTAATCTGGAAGAAAACTAGAACCAGGGTACATGAAAACACTATCAAGAATGCGTGGAAATAGGAAGATTCACGTACATGCTGAACAAAAATACCTAGAAAAGAGATTTTTAAGTAATAAAGTAACTAAGAGAAAATCAAAGCAGAAGGAAACCTGTAGTTCGTAAGCTATGCGTCTCAAGAACCAACATCAGCAAAGCA